TATTTATATGTTCACCCGCTCAGCATCTAGGCTGGAAATAGGGGAGTTTCTAGGCTCTTGTTTGAAGAATTTATTGTAGAAAAACCGGCATTGTAACACATCACGTCAGAGGTGCTTACTATTTAATGAATGGAAAGATTGCTAAATCATTATTACTGTCACTTTAATAAGCCAAGCATATCAACATGTATGCAAACAATCTTGTATTTAAAAGATTTGTTTGCATTTAAAGGTTGCCAGAGATATATTTGCAAAGCTCCATATAATAATAATTGGCATCACAGTTTCCTGCCTTGCCATTGATAGAGTGCTCATGGCTCTATTCAAGTATGACATGGAAAGTGCAAACTGAATTGCACTGGTTATTGACAAGATCCATTCACAGTGGCTAAGCAGATGTTTACTTACAAATCAGCTCATGCCTTGAGCACTCGATTAGATAACATGTGATATTGCAATATACACATACACATTATCAGCCATCTGACTTCTTCTTTGAGCTAACTCAATGACTTTTTCATATTTGATGTAAACTGTGTGCATAGATAAATAGAAGTGGCTACTATTATTTATGTTATTGCATGTGCCTTAAAAAAGAAAGTGCCAATCAAAGACAAACCATAATATTAACATCAAGTAGCTCTATATTAGTGTATTTTGCGCACTGGTTTCTATGCCTCTCATTGTTCTATTTAGTCCTTGCCGCATCTCGTGCTTGTTCCTCCTACCACCTAATTATTAAATCAACTCTAGCACTTTTAAGCACCATGTTAAATGGAAAGAGATCTTGCCACTGAGCTTGTTGCATCACTTTGAACCCCATGAAGGCAAGTTGGACAACAAATAACCAGCAAGTATAGAACAAGTGGACAGCCTTGGTTTGAGTGAAAGTGTAGGTGTAGTCTTGAATGGTGCACAGCATGAGCATTGACTTACACCAGATAAACATGGCCTCACCAGAGTGTTCCATGTGATCTGAGGATAGTTCGGCAAAATTTTAAGCGCAAGCAATAAAACAAATAGTTAATACTTCTGTTTATCTATGCACACAATCTACATCGAATATCAAAAAGTGGTCGAGTTAGCTCGAAAAAGAGGTCAGATGGCCGAGTGGTCTAAGGCGATACGTTAAGGCCGTATTCTCTTCGGAGGCGTGGGTTCGAGTCCCACTCTGATCAAAACATTTTTTTGCTTTTATTATTTTTTTTGAACCGGGCGATCCAGGTTTGAGCACGAAAATCATCTAGCGCTAAAGCCATGGGGTTAGGTACTCCTACACTCTCCGCCTTATTTTTTCGGTGCTCATCCCATGCTATTATTGATGGCAGTGACAAACACCTTCAT